TTAATGGTTATTACATTCTAAAATACATTTAAATATAATTAAAAATTAGTAAAATTCAAAGATCATTTTTTTATATTTATTTTGCATACTTTAAAGTTCATTCAAAATTTTAACCTTTAATGAAAAAATATTAAAAGATGCCCTGAAATTTAAATTAATTAATATTATAAAAATTAAATATTATAATAAAAAAATCTATTAATATAATTTTAATTATTATTTTTTTTTTAAAAAGACTGGGAACCAGTCGCCCGAACAGGGAGCTTGCTCCCCCTCCTGGCACCCAAAATGCCGGCGTGGATACGGCGAAAATCCTGCCGCCAACATCCCGTAAATATGCTCCGTTCTTTCCCAAAGGATTATCTGCAACAGGGAGATACAGTTTCCGCGATTAAGCTATTCCGTTTAACTGCAGCAGCGGCCATGGAGAGGATAGAGGAAAGTGAAAAAGCCAAAGCCGCGGCCTCCTTCATTCGAGCTGATGATCCCATCACCGTCCACGTAAAGTTCAGCGGCCGCAAGATCTCAGTTACCCTTTCGCCTGAATCTACCATTCTGGATCTTAAATCCCGCCTCCACTCCCTTACCGACGTCCTCACTCGCTGTCAGAAACTCATATTTAAAGGTACGCCGCCCAAACTGTTCAAATTTGGGGTATCCGCCCCATTTCTGGTGGAGATTGAAGCCTCTTAAGACATTCTTTTGCTTAAACTAAGTTTAGGGATCAAAGTGGCAATCATTTGGCAGAGTTTTTCTGTAGAAGATTCTTTTGTCTTTTTGTTGGGTTAATTTTTAACGCTTTTAGTTTGCGTGCGTTGATTTCGTATAAATTAATCTGCTTGATATTTGTTGGGAAAATGTGGGTCCGAATACTCTTAGGATGTCAACGAGCTAGTGTAGGTCCATATAAAGCCTTAATTATTTAGTCACCCCTCCATGGTTAGTTTCTCTTCCCCAGTTGGAGAATAATAATAATAATAATAATGAGAGAAAGGGAAGAGGATGGTGGGGGGAATTTTTAGTATGTTGCATCCTGCAATAATATTAAATGGATATGTTATCTTCTCCTAATCATGGATTCAAGATCAGGTGTGAATTACTTTTGTTATAAGAATTGTATACAAAGATATGAAAATTGTTTTCTATTATCTAGTAGTAGAGCTACTTTATTAGTTTGTGTTGGATCTGAATTTATTAGTGGGTGACATCTTGACCCTACTCGCAAAACTAGCTAGACTATATGAGTAAGAAAAAAAAAAGAGAAAAGCGTGTGAGAAGGGAAAGCTCTGAAGTTCTATATCTTCTTTATGAACAACAATTGGCATGAAGTCAAGAAAAATCCTCTAAACCCCGTATTTATAGAGTTAGGTACATTTAAGGAATAATAAAATTAGATATGATTTGATTGCTGCAGACATGTGGACTAAACTCTGGTGGCTACATATGGACAACCATCTCTAATATGGACATGGGATACCTCTGGCGAGAGCTCTGACAGTTGCCTCGAGTGACTGCCTCGGGTGACTACCTCTGATGTGTTTCTAAGGAGAGTGAGTCATTTGAATGAGGCACTAGTTGAAATGGTGAAGTTGATATTATTATTTGGATGAACATCTCTTGTCAATTGGGTGTATGACCTTATGTTCAAAGTGAGATCTTTCAGGCGAGTGTCTCAATCGGACGAGTTCTTTGGGGGTGAGTGTCCCACTCGTATGAGTTCTTATGAGATGAGTGGTTTGAGGTGTATACCTCCTAGTCGGAACAAATGTCATGGGCAGATACTTGGTGATTGGGTTGAGTGCCCTCTGTGGTCAAACTTCTTTATGGCAAGTTCATTTAACTCCTTTGATTCCTCATTGAGCTTGTCTGATCGCCATAACTTGTTTAGATGTACACATTGGGATTATACCTTTAAAGCAAACCTTGCAAATAGAACACAAGAATTAAACAAAGTATTTACTATTTTCCTCATTTGGTACAAATGAAGAGTTGCAAAAAAAAAAAGAAAAAAAGAGAGCATGATTATCATTAAGAAAGGAAGTTGTTATTACTTTTTCATTTCCTCAATGCCCTCAAAAAGAGGTGACAATGTTAATCACAGAGTATTTGTCTACTTAGGGGCCTTAGCTCTCTTGTAGGGAGTAGTCTCATGGATTTTTTACTTGGTCATGAGTTGAAGTCACTCTAATCATTATGCTCAAGTTGGCCAACCTTCTATATTATGCGGTATCCACCTAATCTAATTTTTTTTTTGGGCTTGAGTTAAGAATGACCTTTCTTTATTAGGTTTAAACGAGAATTTGACTTTTAATAGAACACAATGGAGAAAAAGGATTCATGTAGCCGACCCCACGTAGTGGGATAAAGGCTTGATGTTGTTGTTGTTGTTGTTGTTGTTGTTGGGCTTGAGTTAAGAATATCCAACTTCTAATTCAGGTGAGTTGTGTAACTTTTCTTTTCAATCTTGTTCTAAAGGCTTGCTGCAATGGCGAGTTCTTAAGAGTTAGGATAAATTTTTTAGATATTTATGAAGAGTTAATTTGCTTAAAGTTTGTTGGACCTATGGGGCAACCTCCATTTGATAATTCTTAGGGAGGTAGTGTTACCTTCAAATGTGTCTGTTGCTTGACGTTTAGATGGCCAACCCTCGTTGGATATGGTGAGTGCCTATCCTTTACTATGATTTAAATCTCATTTGTGAGTAGGTTACCATATCATTGACATGCTAGCTTTCTTTGCCGAAGAAGACTGACTTGCAATTTTGTAGAGATGTGCATTTATGTGCATTGATTCCTGAATTGCTTTAAATATATAAAAATCCATGATATGTCATTGTTTATTTGATCCACTTGATGCGTGAAGCTTCATCATCCTAGATCCCTATTATAATTTTTAATTCGTGGTTGTTTTCTTCGTCCTTACTTTACTTCTTTCCTTCTATAATTCATCCTTCTTAATTGATTTACCTTGCCCCAGCTTAAGTAACTTGCAAAGCGACCTCATTTTCTATATTGAGGAATTCCTAAGTTGTGATTTTCATTGTCCTTCATTGATTGTAGGGAATGACTCCGAACAACTACGAAAGGAATTCATCATTAGTGAAGGTTTCGTAGTTTGAGCTCGTTTGGCAGATGTCCCCAAATTTGTCGAAATATGTTGGATTGTGTTTTTATCTGGATCAATTTTGTTATGGATCGCGCCTCCCTCTTTTTTTTTGAGGTATTAACCATCCTTGGCCACCATTGGCTACTACGTGCCTTGATTATGCCTAGTTTCTATGTCTATCGGGTCACCCTTTTTGCCCTCTTGCGGAAGAGATAGCTCTAGTGGATTATTCACCTTTTTTGTAATTGGTTTAGATCTAGAAAGCTCAAGTTATACTGCATTCTTTTATAAAGTTATATCTAAGAATTTGCTGGTTGAGGGTAGCAAGTGTTGGAGAAGGATGATTTTTTTTTAGTGAAGTTGGTTGGAGGGTGGTCCATTGGAAATAGTTCCCACTTCCCACGTGGTGCCTCGTGCCTAGGGGTGATCTATAATCCTTTCACCTGAGGGGTTTGAGTTTCCTCTTGCTTGTAGCAGGAGATAGAGTTATAAAAAAATTGAGCCGAGTCGAGCTTCAACATGATCGATCTTGAGCTCGTTTTCCAAGACTGTGTTTAAGCTCGACTCGATAAGATTCGAGCTTTTTTGGCACCTGTTCGAGCTCGAGCTTATTTAAAAATCCTTATGTTCGAGCTTAGCTCGTGTTCATGTTTGAACTCGGTTCATTTTAGGCTTATCGAGCCTATTAACGAGCCCTTGTTCGAGCTCAGTTCATTTTAGGCTTATCAAGCCTATTAACGAGAGGCTCATTTAATAATCCGAACTTATTAATGGGCCGCTCTTTTAGCAAAATAAAATTTATTTTCTTTTCAACCGAGCAGCTTGCTGATCTGTCCGCTAGGCTTGCCGACCCATCTGCCAAGCTTGCCGACTCGTCTGCCAATATTCCTTAATAGACCCAACTCGTCCGCCAGCTTTCAAGCATACTCCCAATATTTTTAATTTTATAAAGCAAAATTAAGTTGTCATGCATGGCGTGGGACTAAACGAACAACGGGACATATTTTTTCCTGATGTGTGAGCAGGAACGGAGAGCGAGAGCAGGAGCGAAGAATGGGAATTTAAAAATAAATTATTAAAAATTTAAATTAGTAAAATTAATTTAATAATATTTATTTTCAAAACTCTAATTTAGCTCTAATCGAGTTTGTTCTCGAGGTTGAAACGACACTGAACATAAACGAATCTAATACCAAGTTGTGTAAGATCGTTTATTAGTTATCTGGTATTTATCAAAAGTGTTCAAGCTTGTTCGTTTATCTTATCGAGTCGAGTTACAAACAGCTCGTCGAACGCTTGGTTCATTTACAGCCTTGGAAGGAGGGGTTGGGCTCACCTAGCTACATACTTGACACAACTATAGGGTGATTGCATGTCTTATGCCGAGTATGTCTTAAATTCCTAACCCATCGTGAGTTACTTAACTAGCGATTTTTATATATATATATATTCTTTTATTGAATGGACTTATGTTTTGTCTTACATGTATGTTTGATAGTTTTAGATATTTGCTGAAGCATATTAGATATATCTTTGTTCTTTTAAGTGGAATTCTTACTCTTATTAAACTGAAAAGTGCTACTTTGCTAAGTGCAAAGTTTTCGTCTATCTGCGGGCCTTAGCTTTCCCGTGTGAAGTATTCTCTCAACTTTCAAATTTAACCCTAAGCCTAGATCAACCCAATCTTAAGCTCAAATTTCTCATATGACTAAATTTCACTTGGAAATAAGTTTCTCTAATATTAATCTATGTTATTAATGTGCCTACTTTCTAGTTTGGAGTCAATCGACTTCAAACTTGAGTGCTAGTTCATTAGGTTTTAAGTCTAGAAAATAAATTAAAAAAAGTTTTTTTGGTCATATTTTAGTTATGATGATTCGTGATGGTGGCAAGGGACAAAGGTATTTATTAGAGATGAACAAATTTACTCGATTTTCAAGTTTGAATCTATTAGTTTGTTGAATTTTCTATTTGGTGACTTTGCTAAAGTTGAATTATCACTTGACGAGTTTAGTCTTTGGAGGAGTCGAGTACATGGTGACGAGTTCACCAAGTATCTATAGAATTCTATGTTGGGGATGGAAGTAAAATACCGCAATGAAACAAACAAGAAAGTAAAAGCAATGGAAAGTAAATGACACTAGAATTTAACGTAGAAAAATTTGAAATCGAGAAAAAACCACGGAGCCACACCACACCAAGAAATCCACAATGAAACTTGAGAGAAATATACATATCTCTTTTCTCTTGCTCTCTTATTTCTTCTCTTCTCTCTTACAACGTTCTCATACTCTAAACACAAGAGAAAGTCAAGTTAATAACTCTAAGGGACACTTGAGAAAAGTGAAAAAAAGACTGTCCAGTCTGTCTCGCAATGCTGCGGAGCTCAAGCCTTTGATCTCGATATGTCAGACAATGCTACTGCGCCCAAACCAGCAACAACACAACACCACACAGCATTGCAGTGCCAAATCTAGAGCACTGCAACGCTTTGGTCTCTGTCACTTCTCCAAGCAAATTTTACAGCATCGGGGTGATTGGGAACACGACGCTGGGGTGATCGGTCATACAGTGCCCGGGTGCTTGGGTACACAACATTGGGGTGTTGTATAATTTTTTTTTTTTAGCTGCAAAGCATTTGAACCCAAACAGGGGTAGGACCCCCCCCCCCCCCCCCCCCCCACCCCCCCCCCCCCCCCAACAAGTACGACAAATTGAACTGAGATCCAAGGTAACAATCCAATCTGATGATTGTCACAATCAGATTTCACACATACTAACGGTCTAAGGGTGAGTTGCATGCTGGCAACGAGGTCTTGACTCTTCCATATTTTCAGGGACTTCTTTGGCTTACCACTCTACTTCCCATAGTGCTCATCTTTTGGTCAATGATATCAATTCAAACTCACCAAATGTGAAAAGATATTGGATCCAAATTTATTCATGCGTGACACCTTGACCCTACTTGAATGACTAGTAAGGTTATTTTAAAGCAAGAAAAGAAGAGATAGGTGAGTGAATAGGAAAAGCTTTGAAGTTTTATATCTTCTTTGCGAATGGTAATTAGTATAAAGTCTAAAAAATATATCTCAACCTCATATTTATAAGATTAGGAAAGTTATAAGAGAGGCTATGCCCATAAAATAATAAAATGATATGACTTGACTGTTACAAACAAGTAAACAGTCATCTTTGACATTGATACCATTTAGAAATAAAGAGATAAGAAATAGAAAGAAAGAGTAAATAAACAATAAAGAAAAATTGAAACCTAGAACCAGGAAAGAAAAAAAAAAAAAATCGATAACTCAATTGGGTGAGTTATTTTGAGGTGAGTGCCCCAATTATATAAGTTCTTTTGAGGTTTGTGCCTCTAAGGTGGATGTTAGGCTGCGGCGAGCATGCTCTGGTAAATCCTATATGATTGGGGCGAGTTCCCTCTTTGGTCAAGCTCTTCTAGGGCGAATTTACTTGATCACCTTGGATTCCCCAGCGAGCATGATATCTATAACTCTCTTAGTTTCTTTCATGGGGGTATATAGTTTGAATTAAAGTATTTATTTTGACATGCACAAATTATTATTTTTTTCAACATTGTAACATGTTTTTGGATCATGCTTGTTTGTTCATCATCATCATTTAAAAATTAAAATAGCATTTTCATATTTTTTTTTGATTTCGTCATCTTTAATCAAGATTCTATTATTTTTCTCTCTTTTGCTTTTAACTTGATCAAAATCTCAAAAAAAAAAAAAAAAAAAAAAAAAAAAAAAAAAGAAAAAAAAAGAAAAAAAGAAAACTTGATCAAAATCTCAAGATCTCATCTCTTTCCTTATAATATCTATTTCATTTTCTCCTTAGTGGCAAGCATACTATATAAAATAATAAATTTGTAGCTTTATCTTTGCTTGCTAAGCACGTTGCAAGCCTTGTAAAATTCTTATAACCATCATATGCCTCAATGATATTAAAAAATTTATAACTTTTGAAGTATATATTTTTTTTCTTAATAACTTTTTATTTCGCCTCATGCCCTCCATCAAGTCACTTTATAAGTGCACTATTTTTTTTTCTTGGCTCGCATAACTTTTCTATGACAATTGTTTTAGTCATCTCATATCAAGTTTGGCTCAATTAATGAATTCTAATTGATCTCTTTAGATAACCTACTTGTGAATTTTTTTTTCTTCTAAAATTCCACCACCTCATTTATAAGATAATAATTTCATTTGATTGTTTTCTTTATGCTTTTTTAAAATATACATTTAACTACCACTTCAAAATTTTTTCTTGTAATCATGTTACAAGCTTAAAGAAAGGAGTCAATAATGCTTATATTCAAATCATTAAAGATATGTATGCCGGAGCTTTTACTTGTGTTCAAACACAAGGTGGATTGACCAAGTATTTCCCTATTTCGGTTGGGTTACATCAAGGATCAGCCTTAAGCCCATATCTTTTTGCTTTAGTCATGGATGTTCTCACTAGACATTTGCAAGAAGATGTACCTTGGTGTATGCTTTTTGCTGATGATATTTTTCTTGTTGATAAAACTAGAGAGGGAGTTGAAGGTAAACTTGAATTATGGAGGTCAACTTTAGAGTCTAAAGGTTTTCGCTTGAGTAGATCTAAAACGGAATATATGGAGTGTAATTTTAGTAGTAATAGACCTAGTGAGGGGATTGTGACTTTGGGCGATCAAGTCATTAATAAGAGTACACGTTTTAGATATCTTGGATCTATTGTTCAGAGTGATGGTGAAATAGAAGGGGAAATTATCAGCAGAATTCAAGTTGGATGGTTGAAGTGGAGGAATGCATCGGTCTTGTTATGTGATAGAAATGTACCCCTCAAACTTAAGGGAAAATTCTATAAGATGATAGTGAGGCCTGCAATGCTTTATGGTGCCGATTGTTGGCCATTAAAAGAGAAGCATAATACTAAGTTAAGTGTGGCAGAGATGAGGATGCTCAGGTGGATGAGTGGCTTTACCCTTAGAGATAGGATACGAAATGAGCATAATCGTGAAAAGGTTGCAGTAGCTCCAGTAGAAGATAAGATTAGAGAGAGTCGCCTTAGATGGTTTGGTCACATAAAACGGCGGCCTTCCGATGACCCGGTTAGGAGAGTAGAGGTATTAGATTTGACTTATGTTAAGAAAGGTAGGGGTAGACCTAAAAAGACTTGGTTAGAAAATATTAGGAATGACCTTTCTTTATTAGATTTAAATGAGAATTTGACTTTTAATAGGACACAATGGAGAAAAAGGATTCATGTAGCCGACCCCACGTAGTGGGATAAAGGCTTGATGTTGTTGTTGTTGTTGTAATCATGTTACAAGCTTTACTAGAAGGCTTTTATTTCCTTTTAAGCAAGGAAAAAAAATCTATTTGTGATTTAGTTCCTCCATTTCTGTAACTGTTCTCTTTACTTAAGTTATTCATTCGTTATTGCTAGATTATATGATGCTATGAAATGAAATCAAATATAGCTTCTCCAATTGTATTTCTATCCCCTATTCTATAACCGCCGGGAATCATTTCAAAGCCCATCTTATTACAACATTTAGGCTCATTTAAATCATCTCTAATTAATATCCATTCTTTCTTATATATACACTATAGTAGTTCGTCAATCTATTGCCAAAATTGATTTTTAAAATTATCTTCTAATTCAACTTGAGAAGCATAAGAATTAACAATATTGATAACATCTTCTTTGATAATTATCTTTATAACAATCACCCTATCATTAACTTACTCATCTTTAATAATTTTATCATTCAACTCTATCCACTATTATCTGAATCCCAAGCTTATTGTTAACATTTCTTATGTTCAATAACTTATCTTCCACCATGTGCTTAGATTTCTCATTTCCATTTAGTTTCTAAATAAGCAACATTTATTCTTCTTTTATCTTTTTTTTCCTATTTCTTTTGTTTTTCCCTTTTAAGTCCTCTAATTCATTTAACTAGTTTAATACTAATTTTTTGAATGCGCCACTTAAGGACATCCTTGTCTATTTGTCATCACAATCAAGTTAGTTTGTGTCACATTGCTTTTGAGGCATACTCTTGCATTGATACTCAATTGTTGCAAAACTTTATCCTGCCTTGCCACATCAACAAGCCAAGTGTTGAATAGATCTATAGCCTTTCCATAAAAGTCTATTTGTTCCTGCAAGATGTGATCGAACTGTAATTTATTCCTAATAAATTGCAATCTTTTTTATTTCCTTGATACATAGAAAAGATTTTCTTTTTTCTATTTGTTCTGTTAATAATTATCTGAATTTAAGTGCATCTAATTACATCATCTCGTTAACTTTGGTGAGACATTTGTGTTCTATATATAGATTACAGAAAAATGAAGTCCTTTTTAAGCTCATTATTGCATTTGCGCTTCCTAAAAGTCTACAGATTTTATGAGACTTGTACGACAGCCAAAATCATATTCAATGTTAAATTATTTTATTCAACACAGAAAATATGTTTAGTGGTAAAAAGTGGAAATTTGGTTGAATCATCTGATTAAGGCTTTGTTTGGGATGGCTTTCTTTCTGCTTCTTGAAGAAGCTTTCTAGTACAAAAATTATTTTTTTTGTACTAAAAAATTGCTTCAAGAAGCAGTAAGAAAGGCGTCCCAAACAAAGTATATGTCTTCACAAAATGGAATTCTAATTTTAAGATATTTATTTTTGTCCCATGTCTATCAAGATAAAATCATAAGATAAGATTTATATTAAAAATATAGAAAAGCGCTTCATTACAAGTGAAATTTCTTGATTCTTGTTAAAATTGAATTAACTGAAATGGCAAATTAATTTGGGCTGTAAAATTAGTTTTCTCATGTGTGTTAGGGTTATCAGTTGTTTAGTGCGTATGCTTCACTACATGCGTTTGATAGTGATTGTCTTGCTTTTAGAAGTGAGTTTAACTATTTGATTGACAGGATGTAACTGAGTTCCTATCCTCGACAATCAGATTAAAAAAGTGAGGAGGTTTTAATTTTCTTGCTAGGAGGCTATACTTACAATAACAATTGAACAGTATCAAGCAAATTGGATAATGAGTTAGAATATTAGTTTGCTTAAAATAATAATAAAATATTATAAAATTAACTTGCACGTGGCTGAAACTGTTACAGCCTTGGTCCGAAAGGCGGTGCACCCGACAACACGGGTTGCTATGAAGAGATAGAAAGATCTGTTTTGTACTCACAAAGAAGAGAAGTGCATAAACTAATAATATAATCAACTATATCAGAGTAAATAATAGAAGGACAATTAAATATTCATTTCATTAATATGAATTCAAATAACAATACACCAAAATAATAGTACTGATACAAATAACAGAAATGCAAATGAAACAAATGACATAAAAGAACTACCCAACCCTTAAACCAAATATATAATAATCTACTATTAAATATAAAATACCAAATATAGTACTGTTAATAGCTTGGCTTCTATGGTGATGGTCCATTAAGCACTCTTGTAATGCCTACTATAAAAAGAATCAACATGTGAGTTTGATAAATCAAATTCAAGAAGTAAGTCCTATCTAATAAAGCATAAACGATAAAGAATGAGGCATGCTGTATGACCAATCAATAGGAAGGAGTGGAAATCGATCTTTCACTATAACAATGCCACATGCTATTTCTAATATGCTGGTGCTACAAGTATATATGCTAAACTAGTACTAATGCTAAATCATTTCAATGCTTATAAATACAACCACACTAGGCATCATTGTACCTCAAAATGACTTATTAGTCATTCATTATTTTCAATTCATCTCCAATTATATATTTATACATTTATATGTATATAACTATAATCGGTTTGTCAAATATCCATTACTAGGAAGGTAACCACTTACCCAAAGAAATTCAGTGATTTTTGATAGAGTCATTACTTTGAGTGCCATTGGCCTAACTAACTAAAATTCAATAGGGCTCTATCGACCTACATACAATCATACAATATATGTGCTTTTACAAATAAGTTCTAATATGTATTATATAATTCAACATGACAATAACAAATTATACAACCAACTTGATGTACAACAATAATATTTATTTGATGGGGACATCATAGCGTGGAAAGTATATCAGATGCTTGGCCGTCGATCTAAGACCACGATTGAGTCGATGTATTTTTGAGTCATTTCATGTATTTGTCTTTTATTATGTTATTTGTCTTTTATTATTTATGTTGTATTTGTTTTTTCGTTTTGCCCTTTAAAGGAGGTCATATGTAGGTCCTAAAGACATTGTCGTCTTTTTTATTTTGAGTCATTTTGTACGAGGTTATTTATAGCCAATGTTTAAAATTGCGTATTTGGGTATTGAGGCGTTTTTCATTTGCGAGGCGAGGCGTAAGCCTCAAGGCGTTTTGAGGCGTAAGCCTCAAAATCAAAAGATTGCGTAAATATAAAATGATAAATTTGTTATATATTAATGAGTGAATAATATAAAATATAAAAAAACATAAGATATGAAGTGAAATCAAAATATCTCAATAATAAGACAACATGAAATATAGTTTAAGTCAAAATTCTATCCTTCTTAAATCCCAGTATTCTTTTCATTAACACATAATTCCGATTTCCAAAAATAAATAGCAATGACATATCACATAAGAACTCATAAGTCATCAACACTGTCATTACTAAGGGGTTCTTCATTTGAATCATTATTATGGTGAATTGCTCTCTCCCCTTCCTCCTCTCCTATATAGTCCAATGTCGGGCATTTACTTCAAGATTTATGTAAGTTTTAATATATATAGCGTGAGGCGAGGCGGGCCTCATCCACGTTGAGGCGCAAGCCTTATAAAAAAAACTCGAGGCGTAAGCATCGAGGCGTTATTTACTGGAATTACGCAAAGGCAGACCTCAAGGCGAGCCTCATATTGCGCAATTTTAAACCATGTTTATAGCCCTTATATTTCTCTTCTAATGTTAATGATTGAATGATAAAAATTTTCCCCTTGTTTGAGTTCTCATGAGAGCTTGAGAGATTGGAGTGAGGTCCCTTGGAGAGGGAATTTGGATCACCCACCAACCTTGGAGACGGCCTGGTTCGTAGTTCTTCTTCTTTATCTATTTTCCCTTTTCCTTCGTCATCTAGCCACCGGCCACCTAACCCCACATCACCACCCAAGCCACCGACCCTACCCCACCTCCCCATCTTCCCTCCACAAATTCAACTCCCTCTTGAATACTTCCATAAGCAACCACTCTTAAGTTAGGAAGGTTTAAATTCAAAATTCAAAATTATTTGAATATGAACTTTCCTAATTTAAGAAAGCTATTTTAGGAAAGTTTTCGAACCCTTTCCTATTTGATTTTAATTTAATTTGGAATGAAAGATTTCATTCAAAATCTCATTACCTAATTTAAGGAGGCATTAAAAGCTTCCTTAATTTCCCTCCCTAGCCCCCTTGCCGCCAGCCCCCTTAATAAATCCGTTGGGATTTATTTCCAAAACCCATTAAGCCCCTCTTGGAAATAATTCTTAATCCACTCCACCTCCTTGGCCGAAAATTCCTAACCCCACCTATTTGATTTATTTCCAAAGGAGAAGCTCTCCTTTTTGGAAATAAATTAAAGCATTCACCTCTCTAACACACCTCTCTAACACCGCCGGCCCTCTCTCCTATCTGCCCCCTCCCTCTCTCAAATTTCCCTCCCCCACATTAAATCCTCTCCTCTTTTGCAAACAAATCAAGGTTCTCCACAAAGGCAAGTTCCCCTCCTTCCTCCTCGCTAGAGTTCAAATTGCCTCAACCTTATTTCCCTCTAAAACAAAATCTGAACTTTACTCTCAGATTTTGACAAGGGAGCTCCTTCATCCTTTCTCCACCATTTGAAGGCTTGAAAGAACACCTTTCTTTCATAGGAAATCCTTAAGGAAGACAAAAGGATGTTGTCTACAACACATCAATCCTACGAACGTGATGCATGGCTGATCCAGATCTTGATTACGACATCGCCTACGACGAACAAGGGTTGGTTCACATCCTTCACTCCACTTTCTTCGACGTCAATTCGAATATTTGACCACACTATCGAAGAGTACGTGGAGCACATTCTAGATACTCTCATCGAAGCCGTAGAGGAGCAACTTGGTACTGTTTAGTGGTGGATTATGTCCAACCCGTGACAAAGGTCTTCCAATCTTCCTACTCTTGTACTTTCTTAGTTTAACTCTCTCTTATGGTTTGATTTGATTCATAAAGGACTTGTTCACCTATCTCTGCCAAGCTTAGTAATCGTAGGAATTGAGTTAGTTTTCTATGCTTTTAATCTTATTGTTAGCGTAGGAATTTTGTTGAAAGTTACTACATTTGCTTACTATTGAGATTCTGAGTTATTTGATAATTCAAGCTTTTGGCAAGTGGCTTAGCCTAAACGTAGGCACCCCTCTTTTGTTTTCTTTTGTCGTTTTGACTACTAATAGTTTTAATCTTAATTGTTTTATTCAAGAAATCGTGAAAATTCTTATCGTATACAATTAAAACATTTTAGTCCTGCATCATAATTATTGCATTAAACAGAACTGATATGTATGAATTAGACTTTGTACAACATGAATCATTTTAAGTGATAAAAGCTCGTGCATCTATAAATCAAGGTCACATTATTTATACTACATGACACTTTCATTATGAGCAATAAATAAGATTCTTGACATGTACACTGCTAATAAATACATAAAAAATCAAACTGAGAACCTAATATCTAGAAGCCTCACACAAGTAATAAGGGGTAATGCCCCTAACAAAGAAGGATGCATCTTTTCGATAATAAATAATTGTTTCTCTCCCATGGAATAAAAAGACAAGGAATAAAAAAATCAAGGGAAATGATTACCTATAGCCAAATTCCTATTCAAAATGGATGCCCCATCCCGATTTTCAGCAGGAAATCCCTCTTCATATCCTGCTCCCTCTGCAACGGCGCCGAAGTGTCTTATCTCGCGTGCGAAGAGGTGTTGAATTGAGTCGTTAAATAGACGACCGAAGCCCTCGCATCTTGGGCTCTCTCGCAAGCAGCTACTATGGCTTCGCTCCTTCCACACTCATCACGCGACCAAACTCCCTCCTTGGATCTTGATTCCTCCCGTAGCCCCTCAGCCTCTCCCTATACCAGTCGCCTGTGCCAACTTCTACCCACGACCGAAGCCTTCCAGCTTCACCAAATCCCGATCTCCTGCTTCGACTCACACCCCAACCTCCTTATGTCCATATAGAGAGAGAGAGAGAGTGCCGAGCTTCTCTTACCTGGCCGAACTCCACCTTCCCTGTCCGACCTCTAGCCCTATCCCGTGGCCTCCAACTCGTCGCAAGCCTTCCGACCCGAGCCGTCTATCCCGTAATCTGCTCATCGTTCAAGGCTTAATCTCCTCACATACCCGATCAACTCACTGGCCTTCGTCTATTGAGGTCAAATCCAACTCCCTCTCACTGAAGACGGCTGAATCCCTACAGACGGATCCCTACCTTGCTTTGCCAAAATCGGATCTCCTTCCCGTAGCCGACGCCAAATCCTGATCTCCTCTATTGGAAACCCGTGCCCTATCTTTCTCTTGACCAAGCTCCCCAAGCCGCAAGCCTCCAGTTGGCCTCCTCACTCGATTTCCCTCAGCCACATAACATAATAAGGTATTAGGATTATCCTTTTTTATTTTATATTATCGTTAATGCTAACAATTTATTACTATCATTATTATAAATAATTATCATTAGAGTAATATTAGCATTAGTTATTTATTAGTAATAATATTATTGTTAATAATAATAATATTATTAATATTCTAATTAATGATAGTATTATCATTAATAATAATTATTATATGTTTGTGTGTGTGTTTATGAGAGAAAAAAAATGCTTGTGTGCCTCGATACATGTGCCCTCCACCTCTACATCACCGGTCGCCAAGGTATAACCTCCTAAACTTGGGAGAACTCACCCTCGACACTTGCAACGGGGCGAATAACCTCCCATGCGCGCTTTTCTTAGCATGGTGGGAGGAAGTTCACTTCAGTGCTTGTGGCAAAGTGGGTAATCCCTCTAAAGTCCTTTTTAGGTGTTCGTGGCGCCCCAAGGGACCACCCATGTACACTTTTCTTTGCATGGTGGGATGGAACTTGGTGCGGTGCTTACAACGAAGTAGGCGATCCTTGTGCACGCTTTTCTTAGCATGGCGGGGCAATAAAAATTACTTTAAAAAAATGCTTTTATTAACCTATGCTTGCATTTTTTGGCGTGGTGAATGACAAACAAAAAATTATCGACGCGGTGTCTTATAAACACCAACCGTGCACGTCTTTCTTGACGTGACGGGTAGGCGGCCTCTTGGTTTTTTCCCCTAAACAGGGGAGACTTCGGGAGGCTGTCGAAATTTTGTATGATATAAGATAAGGACTTGGAACAATTTAGGACTTGTGGACTTGATGTAATTGATTTAAGTGAATATAACTTTAAACGAGCTTGAAAGACAACATAAGCTTGCAACAAATGACTTAAGTGAGCTCAAACATAAAGATTGCTATAACTTGAAACTTGTACTTTGGACGTGAATTGAACTCAAGTGAACTTGAAATTGACTTGGACTCATATTTGAACTTGATTTATACATCAATTGGACATGACTTGAACTTGCAATATAAGCAAGGACATGATTTTAATTCAAAGGACTGTAGGGGACTTTGATTTGGACTTGAACAATAGAACAAAGAGCTTGAACTCAAATGAGCTGCATAAGAGATTCATGAACCTAAACTTGAATCAAGTGATGAAGAACTTGCAAACTTTTGAACAATAGAGGACATGCTTTTCAGATGAAAATGAAGAAGTCTCATTTTAGACTTGGTCTTAAGCTCAAGTTGGAATCGGACTTTGAATTAATGATCTAAATCTTAACCTAAACTAAAGTCTAATGTTTGGAAGTGAAAGTTATAAATCATAAAAATGATGAAATCAAAGATAAGTGAATGAAGACTAAGTCTGCAACGCGCGGGGCAGGCGGGCAGTGGGCAGCGCTGGCATGGGCAGCGGGCAGAAGCTTTGGGAAATTCAATTTTTTATCAAATGGGTCGAATCTGCGAACCCGAACTAAACATGTCAGGTTCAACTCGGATTTTTCGGGTCGGGTCTGGGTCGGGTTGCCGTGTCGTGTCAAATATTGACACCCTTACCAAATCCCAATATTCTTTTCATTAACAAATAATTCCAACTTCCAAAAATAAATAGCAATGACATATCACATAAGAATTCATAAGTCATCAGCACTGTCATCACTAAGGGGTTTTTCATTTGAATCATCATTATGGTGAACTGCTCTCTCCCCTTCTTCCTTTCCTATAGAGTCCAATGTCGGGTATTTACTTCAAGATTTATGTAAGTTTTAATATATATAGTGTGAGGCGAGGCAGGCCTCAACCAAGTTGAGGCGTAAGCCTCATAAACAAAACTCGAGGCGTTTTTTACTAGAATTGCGCAAAGGCGGGCTTCAAGGCGAGCCTCATATTGCGCAATTTTAAACCATGCCCGCTGTATACTAAATATGTTACCGATAGGCAAATGCATAAGAACTACAACAGGCACAGGCTCATACAAAGCTACCCTACTATGTATTCCATGTCCCACAAGCAAAATACATAAGGTCTACGGACCAAGCACGAGTTTCTACATGCAACTGCGAAATATAAGCCAAATATTTCAAAGCATCCCCTCACACATGCACTGTAGTTTGTATAGACATAAGTACAGAAAAAGGGCAAGTGCAATTAAAAAACCCGCATGGGCCCCGACGAGCATGTTATTGGTACTCACGTGACGTTTAGATGCCGTGCGTGTCAATAAATCTGAACCCGATCCTCCTAAACAAGTAAATAGGAGTCGACAAGGTTCAGTCAATAATTATAAAATGCCCCCAAACACCCCTCAGCAAGCGTGTTATTGGTACACACGTGACGTCTAGGGATGCTGCGCGGGTTAATAAGTGAATTCAAGTTCGAACCGATCCTTCTATGCGAATTAATAGGAGTCGACAGGATTCGAACCTTCAAATAAATACCCGGTTGTAGCGACTGGTGTATTTGTTTTAATACATTCATATTAGGTTTTCAAGGCTTATAATCAAAAGAATTTGTTAACAAATGCATAAGGCCTACGAAACCCGATCCCCTATTAGCAAGTTGATAGGGTCGACAAGGTTTAATCAAAGAGAAATAACCCCAAACACTCCGATGATGACCGTGTTGAATGAAAATCTCAACCGGAGGGGTCCTTTCCAAATAATTTCAAATGCCATCTAAATACTAAAAGTCCAAATTTCCAAAATCATTTGAAATCCTAAAAATCCCAAAATCTAGATGTTTTAAAATTGAAATATATCCATCAAACAACTTAAAGAAAAAATGCATCCATCTCCACAATAGTTTGCCGAGCAGGACAAATTGAAATATACTTCAGTTCACATAGAGCTAATGCCTAGTTGAAAATATCACTAGGATCCATTCTCAAACAATCTCCTGTTAATAAGGACGTGGTACATGTCCTCTAATCGATGGTTTTGCCGCCAAATGGCATCGCAGGATAAACAATTATGACCTGGGGTCTTCTGAACCGAGTGGTTTTGCCACCAAGTGGCACCACGAAATACCAGTTATGGCCAGAGCCAATACATTCTTTAATGACATCAAATCCTTGAGAAATGAATCAATATGATATGATCGATAGGGCATAAAGTCATTTGTTAGCTAAGGTGGATTCAAATTTGTCCTCTTAGGCAAATATCCATCCCAGGTCTACAAGATACCCTTGGACGAAGCAACCCATGGCTGCCGACAAGGACCCTTCTATCAGGTTGGGTTGACTACCTCCTCTGACTAAGTAGACCAGGGACCACGATGGCCTGGGACGACGGAACCATGGGATCTTGATAGGGTCCATCATCCATTCCCCCACCATCCGCTTTAAGTGCAAGATGGTGAAATTTCTAATGTTAAATTTCAAATCTCCAAATCTCTCAATCCTCCAAATTCCCAAATTCTCTAATCATTTCAAATATTTATGCTGCTACTATATGCCAGATAACACGTGTTTTCTACGTATCTGATTGACGACTAGCCTTAATCGAAAGTTCTCTCTTGTTACTGGGAGGGGTAATTAACTATAGGGGCTTTCGCCTATAGGAAACCAGAACTCAGATAATAAAGTCCTCTCAAAATGAGGGCGAAATCTCTGGGTAGTGTCTTATCTACAAACCCATCTACCTTCCAAAATTTACCCCGGAACTTAATCGCCAAAGAAAAAGCAAACAGTTTGGGCGGAGGACGGTGCCGAATTTTCGGAACCCACAATAATAGTTACAATATTTGACATGAAATTCAAATCCAATTATGGGTTGCACTCTTCCACCATTCAAAAGTCCTGCGAGAAGCGGAACCAAATAGTTATAGGTATGCATTTTGAAACAGCCTAGTTAGTTTAACCGAGCTACACCATCAATGCTCATGCTATCACTATGAAGACACATCCAACCTTATAGTCCTAATCACATCAAGCAAACAATTATTTCAAAGATTTCTCCCCAGTAATTTAATTAAGAGAAATATATATAAGGCAGTGTAAAGATTAAGATTATATAGGGTTTAATCCACTCGAATCATTAATTTATATATAGAAATTTCTCTATGCAAACAAAAGTCTAACAATTAGTACTTTAAGGCTATACAAAAATCAATATAAATCGAATAAAGCTTTGCATTGAATACAAAATGACTCTTAACTTGATGACTTGAAACATAAGAAAATAAAGAGAAGAGAAAAGAGGGAAGGAGAGGGAAATAAACTCACTATTTGGAGGAGAAGAGTTGAGGAAAACTGCTTGTTGTTTTCACCTTATCTCAAGAATGGCAGCTATGGTTTTAGGAGGAAGTGAGGGAGCAACAAGGGAAGGTTTGGCAGCTGCCTCAAGAGAGAAAGTGGATATGAATGATGCCCTACATTCTTTTTT